AGAGGAAGCTGGTATGTTATAATTGAAGAGGGGAACTAGAATATTTAATACAAGAAGAAGCTACTATATTATAATTGAAGAGGGAAGGCTAGAATATTCTAACAAGAGGAAGCTACTATGTTATAATTGAAGAGGGGAGCTAGAATATTCTAACAAGAGGAAGCTGGTATGTTTTTATTGAAGAGGGGAGCTAGAATATTCTAACAAAGGAAGCTACTATGTTATAATTGAAGAGGGGAGCTAGAATGTTCTAACAAGAGGAAGCTGGTATGTTTTTATTGAAGAGGGGAGCTAAAATGTTCTAACAAAGGAAGCTACTATGTTATAATTGAAGAGGGGAGCTAGAATGTTCTAACAAGAGGAAGCTACTATGTTATAATTGAAGAGGGGAGCTAGAATATTCTGACAAGAGGAAGCTACTATGTTATAATTGAAGAGGGAAGCTAGAATGTTCTAACAAGAGGAAGCTGGTATGTTTCTATTGAAGAAGGGAGCTAGAATATTTCTAACAAGAGGAAGCTGGAATGTTATAACTGAGGAGGTAATGCTATAATGATACTGACAAAAGAAATATGTTACTACTTAAAAAAAGAAGTATAACGATCGTTAAAAATATAACTTTCAAGTCGTTTTTTAGAGTCTTACAGCAGGTACATTTTTGCTCTTTTGTGTTTAATTTAAGTTCTGAATGTACAAATCATCAACAGTATATATCAATGTTAAAAGCTTTGCTAATGTATCTTATTTCTTAACTTAATACCTCTGATTGAAATTCCATATGCATTAAGTTTGCAATATCTTCATGCGTGTTCCTGTTTCGATACCAATGTCAATTCCAGATTTATTTTAGAAGATATGTAGGAATTATGTCACTATTCCCCGCGGGTCAAGTTCAGTCTACATTGGTCCATTGGTCATCCATTATCATGTGTCACGAACTTAGAAATAAACTTCACCACGCGTCACGAGTGAGGACCCCTTGCCAACTGGTAAAATGAAACGGAAATTGAAGTTGTCGCATCACTTGTGTGAGTTGGACTACACTTACCTCCGTTTTAAAGTCACGTGCCAATGATGTAATGTAGGTACACGATAGAAGTTGGCAAGGAGCCAAGTCTAACAGAGATGTTACTGATCTCCTTATATGGCTGCCACGTCCTGACCCGGAGACGTTTGGCGAGGATCTTTTTTGTACTAACTTTATATCCCATTACCTCACGGCCGAGTACGTTGACAGGAGCGATCTTGATTTATATCGATGTGTAAGTCTGGAAACGCTGGAAACCACTTCATTTGCAACATTTATATCAAATAACTTTGCTGACTTTTCTGCTAACGTTTAATCTTGTCTCGATGTGTTTTTTGTGTATCTAAATCTTCAATTTTACGATAAGTGTTAGGTTGTAGATTTTCCAGCCAAGAAAGATTTATAATTAAGAAAACTTTTTCGATATTACAATCAATCGATGAAGATGTTTGAGGAGGCTGGTCAACGTTCACTGGTGAAAACAATGAAACATGACTAACTATCCCTTTCCCTTTAAGGAACGATCAACTCCCCAAGTGAAACGATAACTCAGAACAAATGCCATAATTTTTTGACAAATAGTGAATAGTGAATGACACTCTGAAAAGTTGTTTCTAAAACACTTAGGTAACTGTCAAACTTTGAAGTAAAACATGCCTAAGCGCATTGAGTAGACGTGAGTAACACTAAATGTGGACTAAAACGTCACCCAATCTTTCTAGCACCCGTATAATATTTACAATTTATGTTGAGAAGTCACATTTTTTTTTTATATATATATTGCTTACGTTTTCCTAACAAATCATATATAACGGGGGTGGTCTTTAAACCAAATGACATTTAAATACAATTTTGAAATACATGAATCATACTGTCTGCTTATGATTCGGTTTACAACAAAGTCTGCTGATTTCCTGTGATGAAGTGTCATACCAACAGGAAATACGGTACTGGATCAGATTTATATCATAAGAAGAGCATCCCTTCCATCGCTCTATTTTAGTCATACAATCATTACAAAACCGTAGTTCGGAATGCGTTCATTTATGAATCGAAGATGCAAGAACTTGTTCTAACAAAGGGCATGAGGAAATAATACTCCTGATCTGCTCTATATGATATTAACGTTAACGTTATATACTAGCAATACACACAATCAAGGGCTTCAGTTTTGAAGATTCTCTGTTATTAGCGATTGTAAATACTCGATAGTGTTTATAACTTTTTTGCCAAATACTATAAATAATGCACATGGATAAAAAAAAGTTTGAGTTAGGGTATCATTTGGTTTGGTTTGGTTTAGTATTGTTAAACGTCCTATCAACAGCTATGGTCATTTAAGGATTGCCTCCTCTGTGTGCAAGATGCATGTGTGTAGTGTATGCGAAGACACTCAGCAGGACACCCCACCCGGTCACATTATACTGACAACGGGCGAACCAGTCGTCCTACTCCTAAATTGCTGAGCGTTAAGCAGGAGTAGAAACTACCCTACTTTATAAACTATAATTTTCACTTCGCTTCGCGGTTTATTTAGAGTACACTCCGTTTTTTTGTGTTATATCTCAATAACATGAAAAATATATTCAACTTAATCCTTAAATATCCATGAAAGTGTTATTTATATAGAAATTAACATTTACATATTTGATAGCCCACACATACAGAAAATGTCATACAGACCAACAAATTGTCAATGGAAATGACTTCAAACCAACGAAACCATTGAAGACAAACGTTAAACACCCGAAGTAAAATTGGTTAGTTATATATCTTTTAAAACAGACTCATGTCTTTCCTCACAGAGATGGTTAACATCTATAAAATGATGTTTAAAATCGATAAGGTCGTTTTGGTGATGTAATCCGCCATTCCGACATCTCTAGGAACTCATCGTAATATACTTTGGCTTTTAAAGCGATATTACGTAATAATGTTTAAATGCTGTGTTTGTTTCAAATATTTGTGTTGCCAAGAATCTGCAAAACAAATAGGATATCAGAATATATCATTGCTTTGAGGAGATCATTTGTTTTGGAGTTTAATGATGCACGTTGGCAGAGAATTTTGATGTATGAGTAGGTAGTCTGCATCCAACAGCCGCATCTTTCGCAACCAAGGCTGATGATAACTTACGATAATCGTTTGCACAATCAGAATAAACTGATAGAAAGTTTTTAAAAGCAGTTATGAAAAGTGTACAATTCAGAATCAGATTCGTTTGTTTTGATGGGTGAAAGACGAACCTCAATCAAACTCAACGCCTTTAAGGATTATCCATTGTTCCATAAGATTTCGTATTGAGTCATCATCAGTTTGGATATTTTCAAAAAGGGACGCATTTCAGATAAAAACAGTTGCAATATCATTACACTTTAATTGAAATAAAACCCTTCAAATCCAGCTTTTTTTTAGGTTGTTTTCAATCAAAATCAGAAAATGTGTTTTCATTTTATTTCACCAAAACGAATAACAGACAATCGTATATAAATTACCTGCATTTAGGTGGCCATAATTTGAAGACTTATTTTGATAAATTATTAATTAAGAAGTTACTACGGAATGAAAATATCGACAAAGTAACAGAAGAAACAATGGATAATTAGCATAGGTAAACAAATAACACAGACCTCAACGACAAAGTCTCTGCTGCAAATGTAATGAATATCTACAATTAACATGATGACCTTGTTTATACAGCCAAAGCTAATTACCTAAATTCCATGTGCAAATATTATGCACAGATCATGGATACTTTTGACTGCACGACCTTAATATCATAAATGAATTTAATTTAGATAGATAAGCATAATTTTAGACAGTTTTACAAAAATAGAAACTAACTTGTTCATATTAGGACACAGCCATCCCATCCAACATTATTATAGAAAAAATATGTTAATGATAGTGTAAATTATAGTTTATAAAGTATTTGAACCCCACTATAGAGTTTGTTACATAAAATAAAATGACAATATGAAACGTTACTAGAGTGATATTTTTTTTTAATATGGGACAGTATACATGTACCACTTCACTTAACATTTTAATTAAACTGTGAAGGTATGAAACATTACTATATTTTGCATCACATAAGTAGTGTATGGTATAAAGTGTTCTGTAACAGAACGGGAGAGAAGAAATATGACCAATAGTATATATATATATAGGAAGGTATAAACATCTAGCTTGCAATGTCTGGTTTTCCTTGTTGAAATAACAGAAGGAGCAACATGATATATACCGATAAATGTGTGGTTCTCTCTACTTTTGATGTTATATGTAAGCACTTTGTACAAGGCTATTGTCATCCATTACCAAAACAAATAAGTAGAGAACATGATGACGCACGTAAATTAACAATGACGTCAAATAACAGTCAATTATCGCTATCAGCGGAATAGGATCTTCGAATATCGAAGAGAACCGTAAGCTAAGTCGTTCAGTGATAACCTAGCAAACAAACAAGAACGACGATGATACGCGTATCTGTGATGACGACATATAAAAGCAGGTCGATTTGGTGTTTTTGTTTACCTTCCTCCGAGGTGCCAACACGTAAATATAACCGATTAGTATAAATAGGTTCTCGTTTATTTGATAGATAGATAATGGTAAACTAAGGCTGGGACAATGGTAATGATAATTTACACCCTTAGGTTTTTAACAAAACTTTTTATAAATGAGATCAATATTTCACAATGAACCTTAGGACAACATCACATATTTCTACAGATATTATAGAAACTGCTTACGTGGTACACCACGCCAACAAGTAGATATGTTATGATGGATGTTTTCAGGCAATTGATGCTCCAGAACACGATTACTCGCGATTGTTGTCATAAAAATTGCTCTCGTCATAATTGCATCTTTCTTGACTTTAATAAAAAATGACAAATAGAGAAAAGCAGTGCTATGAGAGGTAATCATGTGATCGATTATGTAAGCTATGACGTAAGTGATGACGTACCTGGCTAAAGCAGTGTCGGGGACATTCTGACGATCCCTTTCTATTTCTGTCTCCAGTTCCTGCTCTAGGACATCTATGGCCGAATTTGCTTGACCATTGGAGTATGCTTTCACGAAGGTCAGGGATCCGGCCGCTAGTTTCTATAAAACAACAGATGGTGATCTCAATCAACACTCTGCTAATGAGTTTGTTACTTAGCATAAAAAGTGAAAAGGCAACAATTGATGTATGCTAACAATTCCAATTGTGAAAATTCAGATTGAAAATATTAGTTCATTGTCCGACATATTTGACGAATTCTGATAATAGATTTCGGATGTAATTTGCATAGGTGAGATATAAAGTCTATTCCAGCTTTCGTTATATAGAAATAGAGGCAATACCGATATTGGTATGTATTGATCCTTTTGATTTTCATAACTTGACCATGGGATCAAAAACATCCAACTTTGTTATACCCAACACACAACTTGTAAGGACAATTTTCAATTGCTTTGGTTTTGGTAGATAATACACAACGAAAAGTATCTCATCACAATCGATCATTTTGTTTATTTTCTACAAAATAAACTTAATTAGGATCTGATGATAAGCAGTGCAATACAAACAAATCCAAGATAACTCTCATTATTTATAAAGCAATTCTTCTTTCACAAAGAAACTACTTTTATAATTTAAGTTAAGCATATATTAACCAATGATACTGTAGCAGCCTTCAAGGCCGAAAGTTAAGCCATTGCCTACAGCTCCGTTACTTAACACCACAGCCGTTTTCGTTTAAACGGAGGAACCGATCGGACCACAGTTGTTCGTTTATCAAATAAGGTCGGACCTAGTAATCTGGTGCTGCTTTCAGGCGAGCCTTGACAAAGCATTGCAAGTCCTGCGTAAACATATGCAGATCCACCAGGATTTATACCCGAAATTGATACATTTAAAAACGGACAAACCAGTTGTTCCGTGTAAACGAACAGGCCCCAGGTCACCAAAAGAACCTTGGCATTCTAGTTCCAATCTATGATCCTGACGAATACTCAAACTCGTTGACTCATAGCTTGGGACCTAAGCTTTAAATAACGTGCTCTTGAGTAGATAAGCATAGTCGACATTATTTGAATTACTAGATATCAAACAAAAATGAGAATTGTGTCGATACGATGCCATGCCGGATCAATAATTATATTCAATTCTTTTCTTGGCAAATGCTTCCTAAGAATACATTTATACATAGTATACATACTTAACATGTCTGTTGAGACATATCTCATTTAAAACACATTAGTACAAGCTAAGAAATACATATTTATTTGACGAGTAATCCGATCAGCTTCCTGAAGATGACAACGCTATTCATTACAATGGATATATAGGACTGAACTGTTCTGTTTACTTGTCGTAGACATGTGTCCTTTTTCCGTGACTGCTCCATTTACAATTCAGGTGATGACGTGAGATATATTAACGCATCAAGTTATAGGCCTATCAATATCCAGATATTGAGAAAATATCAAATATAGTTTAATATACTAAGAATACTCCCTCTATGACGTTTAAATCATATCGACACTTTCCACATTCTCTGAAAACTCGTTTTTCTGTGTGACGACTTATACCTATTTTAACTACCAATTGCTTGTTGCATTCATTTCTTGTTGGTAATTTATTTGAAATGCATTGGATACGCTATCAGCAAATCAGATTTCACGTTACATGTGCGGTTTGTGACAAATGAAGCTGACGTCACGCCTGGCATTTACAAAGATGGTTGAACAAGGCGGATTTGCCAGGTTTTCTGATGTTTCGGACAAGGATTAGATGTTTACCATCACAAATACAGCAACAACACCAAATGCGTGTTAAAATAGACACGGGGATTGTTTACAGTGTATTTCATAATGAAACTAGGGTAGAATACATAAATAGAAACATTGAAAAAAGCAGAGATGTCCAGAATTATTTTATTATTTGACACAGGCGTGAGGACGTCAGACGAGTCGAACTTCCCTACAATAACATCAGTCAGATAAAACATTATCTCCTTGCTATTTCGGGTGATAGCACATGACGAGTCGGACTTCCCTACAATAACATCAGTAAGATAAAACACTATCTCCTTGATTTTTCAGGTGATAGCACATTTATCAGTCCCTCAGTTAGAGTCAATTTGCTAGGTCTTCACTCTTAAAGATACCTCCAACTGACAAACGTGCTATCACCTCCATAACCTGGTAGTGAGTGTATAATTCCTGAAATAAAATAACAAAGAATTATTCAGGTATAGGTGTATAAATGATGTTCGTGGTCACCTTTTGTGAACTAGGTCGGCTGCCTTTCCTTTTTTTCGGACGCATCTAAAAAGCAAAATTAGCAAATAAACACAACTATATTAAAGCAAACCTTTAAAATTATTTGATCAAAAATTGGAACAGTTATAGTCGGCGAATAAATGGAAATCCTAAGTCTATGACTACCCATTTAACCTTTTTTCTCAATTTTTAAGACTGTGGGAGATATATTCAACCTACTTTACAAGACTGTATTATTTAACTTCACAAAAAGATTCATCGAAGGGAAACGCAAACAAATCTTTGGAAAAAAAAGGATTTGAAAAGAAACCTCTATCTCTGACTATCAATACAAATACCGTGCGATGTACACAAATAAAAGTCTAAATTAGTTTGTTCGAAAATTGAAAAATATGTATATAGCCGATCAAATCATAATTTCCTATCTTTGTCCGGGAATACTCGGACTTTAATACAGTAAAACGATAAAGGCATTGTAAAATTGAATTTCAAAAATCGAAGACCATACTGAATATGGTAAAAGTTAATCGTTGTATATTATCAAAAATACATTAAATATATTAAATATTAATAATTCGCTGATGAAAGAAGTAGTAAGTACAGCGTAAAATTTATATGCTTTCTGTTTATCACTTTATAATTAAATAATATCTCAATTAACCACAAAAGCGCCGACACGCTTTCAAAGAGCACACACTCTTTGACTATCGCGCATGGCAAGCCAACTTAACATTAACTCAAGTGACAACGTCAGTCCTCTATTTAATATTGCGATACAGGATATATATGATATCTTCTATATTATACAAGATATCTTACGTTTTTTTATTAGATTTCTAATGCTTTATATTTTACAAAGAATCTTATATGATATTTAAAGATATATTATAATTATTTTATTATAACATCTATGATATATACATTATAACATAAGTTACATAATTTTCTGATTTACGGGATATACATTGTACTTTGATCTTTGATTGAGACCTGGCTTACCATAAGTGCTTCCTGTGTAGGTCTTACACATCAGACACACTGTGACGAGTACGTCATACACAGTGTTAATCACTCATATTGTTTGTGCGAAAGCTTAACGACTCCTGCTGTAACAAATTAGCCTGTCATCATTCAAACAGTAAATTACAGCAGCTTGGTAAGATATCATTGCTTTCCTAACTTTCTATATTGGAGAAGATTAATGAGCTCTAGTGTGGCTTTTTTCCTTGGTCGATGAAAGTATTGTTTTCTTCTTGTTGCTGCTTGTTTTATATTCTTTGCTGTTTATTGTGTTTGTAAAGGTGTCTTCTCGATATCTTTTGTTGTGTGTTGTCGTTTGCTTGTTCGTCATTTATGTGTGTTGTCACCTGCTTGTTCGCTGTTTGTTTATGTGTGTGTTGTCACCTGCTTGTTCGCTGTTTGTTTATGTGTGTTGCCTGCTTGTTCGCTGTGTATGTGTGTTGTCACCGGCTTGTTCGTTGTTTGTTTATGTGTGTTGCCCGCTTGTTCGCTGTTTATGTGTGTTGTCTGCTTGTTCGCTGTTCGTTTGTGTGTGTCGTTTGCTTGTTCGTTGTTTATGTGTGTTGTCTGTTTGTTCGCTGTTTGTTTATGTGTGTTGTCTGCTTGTTCGCTGTTTGTTTATGTGTGTTGTCTGTTTGTTTGTGTGTGTTGTCTGTTTGTTCGCTGTTTGTTTATGTGTGTTGTCACCGGCTTGTTCGTTGTTTATGTGTGTTGCCCGCTTGTTCGCTGTTTATGTGTGTTGTCTGCTTGTTCGCTGTTTGTTTGTGTGTGCTGTCTGCTTGTTCGCTGTTTGTTTGTGTGTGTTGTCTGTTTGTTCGCTGTTTGTTTATGTGTGATGTCTGCTTGTTCGCTGTTTGTTTATGTGTGTTGTCTCCTGCTTGTTCGTTGTTTATGTGTGTTGTCTGCTTGTTCGCTGTTTGTTTGTGTGTGCTGTCTGCTTGTTCGCTGTTTATTTGTGTGTGTTGCCGTCTGTTTGTTTGTGTGTGTTGTCTGTTTGTTTATGTGTGCTGTCTGCTTGTTCGCTGTTTGTTTATGTGTGTTGTCACCTGCTTGTTTGTTGTTTGTGTGTGTTGTCTGTTTGTTCGCTGTTTGTTTGTGTGTGTTGTCTGTTTGTTCGCTGTTTGTGTGTGTTGTCTGCTTGTTCCCTGTTTGTTTGTTTGTTTGTGTGTGTTGTCTGTTTGTTCGCTGTTTGTTTGTGTGTGTTGTCTGTTTGTTCGCTGTTTGTTTGTGTATGTTGCCGTGTCCTTGTTCGCTGTTTGTTTGTGTGTGTTGTCTGTTTGTTCGCTGTTTGTTTGTGTGTGTTGTCTGTTTGTTCGCTGTTTGTGTGTGTTGTCTGTTTGTTTGTGTGTGCTGTCTGCTTGTTCGCTGTTTGTTTGTGTGTGTTGCCGTCTGTTTGTTTGTGTGTGTTGTCTGTTTGTTTATGTGTGTTGTCTGTTTGTTCGCTGTTAGTTTGTGTGTGTTGTCACCTGCTTGTTCGTTGTTTATGTGTGTTGTCTGCTTGTTCGCTGTTTGTTTATGTGTGTTGTCACCTGCTTGTTTGTTGTTTGTGTGTGTGTTGTCTGCTTGTTTGCTGTGTGTGTGTGTGTGTTGCCGTCTGCTTGTTCGCTGTTTGTGTGTGTGTGTTGTCTGTTTGTTCGCTGTTTGTTAGTGTGTGTTGCCGTCTGTTTGTTCGCTGTTTGTTTATGTGTGTTGTCTGCTTGTTCGCTGTTTGTTTGTGTGTGTTGTCTGTTTGTTCGCTGTTTGTGTGTGTTGTCTGCTTGTTCCCTGTTTGTTTGTTTGTGGGGGTTGTCATCTGCTTGTTCGCTGTTTGTTTG